ATGTGCATCATCATTTGAGTTTTTTCATTTTTATTTTATAATGGAGTACAGTGAGAGTTGGACTGTGAAGAAAGCTGAGTGCCAAAAAATAGATGCTTTTCAACTGTGGTGTTGGAGAAGACTCTTGAGAGTCCCTTGGACTGCAAGGAGATCCAACCAGTCCATCCTAAAGGAGATCAGTTGTGGGTGTTCACTGGAAGGACTGATGCTGAGGCTGAAACTCCAACACTTTGGCCACCTCATACGAAGAGTTGACTCATTGGAAAAGACCCTGATGCTGGGAGGGATTGGGGGCCGGAGGAGAAGGGGACGACAGAGGATGAGATGGCTGGATGGCATCACCAACTTGATGGACATGAGTTTGAGTAGACTCCAGGAGTTGGTGATGGACAGGGAGGCCTGGCGTGCTGCAATTCATGGGGTTGCAAAGAGTTGGACATGACTGAGCAACTGAACTGAACTGAACTGAACAGTTGATTTACAAAATTGTATTAGTTTCAGGTATATAGCAAAGTGATTCAGTTATATATACACATATATCTCTTCTTTTTCAAATTCTTTTCCCATGTAGTTTTTTACAGAATTTGAGTAGAGTTTCCTGTATTATACAGCAGGTCCTTGTTAGTTATCCATTTGAAATGGGTGGGTGTGTTCAGTTGCTCAGCCATGCTGAATCTTTGCAACCCCACGGATCATAGTCTTACATTCTCCTCCATCCATGGCATTTTCCAGAAAAGAATACTGGAGTGGGTTGCCATTTCCTTCTATAGGCATCTGCCCAACCCAGGGATAGAACCCACACCTCCTGCATCTCATCTTCTGCATTGGCAGGCGAATTCTTTGCATTTATCAATCTCAAAGTACTCTGTTGTGTAAATTTACTTAGATCTTCATTATTTTCCGCAATAGACAACATGAAACTTTGAGGCAAATATTGTGCAAAAGAGAAAGCAAAGGTTCAAACAGGCTAAATTATATACCCGAAATAATTAATTATTACCACAGGAAGTAAGTGACAGAGTCAGAATTTGAACCGAGATATCTGATTCCAAAATGCATACACTTGGTTCAGTGGACATGAAATACACATATTCTTCTCAATTACTAGCTTTCTCTCTCTTTTTTTTTTTTCTTGCTTCACATTGTTCACATACACAGTTCCAATCAACAACTTCTCCCAATACAAGCAAATGATTTGAAAACAAGGTAAGGCAAATAAGAAGCTAGAGAATGAGAGTGTGAAACAGGCCCAGAGATTCTCTTTCCTTAGGAGTGCACACTCTCTGCTTGAGCATAAGCCCTTACTTAGATATCCTGCAATAACTTGTGAATCAAGCCACATGATCAGAGAGAAGGGAACTTGGGACCATATTGTTTGAGACTCTCACCAAGTTTCTTTCATGAAACCATCATCTTTCTTCAGCAATATGGTGACAGTCCAAGTTAGATCTGCTTTAAAAAGTAGCTGTATCAGTTTTACTAGTGCATCTCCCCAGGGATGCTGCTAAGGATATATTCTAACAATCTGCAGAGGATTTTTTAATAAAATATAAGAGGAAATTTGGAACCTGTAGTGCACTCTGTATTTCTTCCCCACATAACTGAGATTCTACTGAGATCTCACTGATAAACTCAGATTTTTTAAATAGTTTTTTAAATGAAAGTAAAACTTACATTAGTATCAGAAATACTAGGGTTTATAAATTAGATTTATTGTTCACTGTCTGTATGACTTTTAACAAGTTCTCAACATCTCTGAGTCTGCTTCCATCTATAAACATGTGAATAGTATTTGATAGCAACTAAAGTAACTTTCATCTAAGCCTGCTGTGAAAATTCATATAAATGATAACACATAAAATGCTTATCACAGTGATATTTATAATCTGCAAATTCTGTGTAAAATACAAATAATACCGAATTTTCTCTTCTTTTCTCTCTCTTTTCTTCTCTCCTTCCCAACTTCTCTCTTCCCTTCCACCTGCTGTCAGAGAGAAGCCTGACATTTACCATTGTAAATGCACAAATGATATGTCCACCCTAACTGTTTCTTAGTGAGTGAATCTCTGGTATCAGGAAATTGCTTCCAAGTTTAAAAAGATACTGGGGATGTGTCTCAATACTAAGGCTCTATCTGAACCACCTTCCCCTTGAATGGTGCAAGCAATTATAATTCTCTGCTACTCTCCATGCCTTCTACTGATGCCAATCAGGGTTAAATAAAGTGGCAAATCCCTGACTTTTCTTGCTGCCTGCAGTCTAGACAAATGTTGATTTCACCACCCTTTCTTGCTTTTTAGTGTTTGAGGATCAACTGAATCATAAAGTAGACACTAACTAATGAATTAATGGACAGGATCCATCTTAAGTGGCAGTTCCCAGTCTGCACACATTGTCAAGTTGACATCAAGAGAGTGATTGGATATCCTGAGATCAGGAACAATAGATTATCATGTTGCCTCATATATAAGGCAATAGATTCTCATCTTTTCTTGATATTATTCTGTATCTTTTCAGATATTTCTCCTGCCTTGGACACTTCTATTTTCTGTTTTGCAATGATCTACTCTCACTTCAAGGCCCATTACAAATGTTTCCTTCTGGGTGAAATCCTCCTGGATTCACCCACCCAGAGGGAATTATTAATTTACACATGTATGTACCCACACACTTTTGCAAACTTTTCTATAAAGTGATTGTAAATAGATGTTTGCATTTAGCTATTTTGGGTCCACATGTTTAGTTGCTTGAGGATAGATAGTGTGTCTTAAATGCAGTAATTAAAAGAGTGTGGAACTGGTAAATAAATCAACAAATAGGCAAGTGAATAGCACAAAATAGAATAGAATGCTCAGAAATAAAATTTAGAGTATATACAGATAGAACTTCCATGCTGGTACACAGATGCATTGTTTTAATAAATGTCCTAGAACAACTGAATTGCCATTTGTCATACAGGTACTAGGAAGAAACATGGTAAATTCCTCTTTAACATCAGTACTGAGAATAACTTTCATTCAAAATCAAGAGGTAACACAAACTGGATAAATTTGATCATATAAAAACTTAAAACTTTTCATGACAGAGAAACCTGTAAACAAAGTAAAAGACAGTTGACAAACTGATAAAAAAAAAAGATACTTATAGTTTCTGTCACAAATAAAGACAAAGTGCACTTAAACTGAGAGAGAAAAACATACCAACTCTATTCACTACCTGATATGATGTAATAAGGAGACAATTACAGTTTTGTGATACGTCACACTGGTATCAGCTCAGTCTAATCATGAAGAAACATCTGATAACTCCAAATGAGGGACAAAATTCTACAAAATAATTGTCCAGTATTCTTCATATATATCAAGGACATAAAAAACAAAAGAACTATACAATATTAAAGGAAAATTGGCAGTGAAATATAATGTGTGATCCTGGATTGCCTCCAAGCTTAAAAAGGACATTACGGGGACAAGTAGCAAAATTTGAAAAAAGTCTACTGATTTTTTAATAGAAGCTTATCAATATTAATACCTTGATTTTGATAAGTACATTACAGTAACTGGGAAAACTGGTTATCAGATGTATAAGAATATTATTCACTATTTTACACTATTTTGAGAATCTAAAATTATTTCACAATCAAGTGCAAAATAATTCAACACAGAACAAATTTAACAAATAATAAATAATGAAATATGTAGGAACCCATAAATTAACCACCATACTTCTGAAAAGAAATCATGAGTCAAAAAATAAAAAGGGAAATGAGATAATATTTTAAGTTGCAAAATGTAGAAAAGACAGCATATCAACGTTGGCCAGCTTCAGATAAAGCATTGCTTAAAGGGAAATTTAACACTTTAAATACTTACATTGAAAGAGAATAAAAGCATCAACAAAAAATAACAAAATGTTCTACCTCAGAAAGCTATAAAAAGCAAGATAAAAGATTCCAGAAGTATCTGTATAAGTAGGAGGAAGGATAATAAAAATAAAAGTATAAGTAAAAGGAAGACATAATAAAAATAAATACAGAAGTACTGAAACACAGTATTGATAAGAGATAGAGACAATAAAAAGAAACAATTTGATTCTTTGAAAAATAAGTGAAACTGATAAACAGCTACCAGATAGTAAGGAAAAATGAGAGAAAGCCAGTTGAATATATCATAGAAGGAAGAAGAATTCTCACTGATCAGTGGTGGTAAACTTTATGTGGACAAAATTGTCCAACTGGATGAAATAGACAGAATCCTTGGAAAAGAATAGTTGAGTCACTTACTATACAGTAGAAATCAAGCATGACATTGTAAACCAACTATAGTTCAATAATTTTTTTAAAAAATAAATGCCAAAGGTAAAACTGACAATTGTGGATTTGGCTCACTTTGCTCCCTTTTCTAGACATATTAATGAAAGACAAGAATTGACAGCATGGACAGCTAGCCACTAAAGGCATGATATGAAAGCCAAATGACTCCACATAAGTATTTAAAGAAACCAGCCAAAGCATAGCATGTACTGGAAAATCACACCCACTCCTGTCCTGAATCCAGGGTTCTGATAGGAAAGACTAGACTCGTGGAGCAATATTTGCCACCCCAAAGTATATTTTTGACTTGTCCATTAGTTCAACTTGACAACAATTAAGGCCTAAAAGACTCAGGAAGAACCTCGACCTTTCCCAGAACTCCCTAAAAGAAGGTAGACAGAGGACTTGTCCCAGGAAGGAAGCCATCACCATAGATCACTACAGTATGAGCTAGAGGTGGCAGACAGAGAGGAACCTAACCTAGTCTGTTAAAATTTCTCTCTGTGCCCAGTGTTTATAAGACAGTACTTGTCATTCATGAAATACACTGATGATTCACACTGTAGGATTTGGGGGCTTAAGTGAATGATTTTGAGGTCACTTTTCTCAAAATGTAAGTAAATATGGTAGGGGATGGTATTGCTTTACAACACATGGGTTCTGCAGAGCATAACTGCAAAATATGGATTTAGGATAAAAGTCCCTGAGAAGAGAGTGTGTGAATTCCCAAAAGCCTGCTCAGTGCCACCTTCATATCCTTGTTCCTGAGGCTGTAAATGAAGGGGTTCAGCATCGGTGTCACCACAGTGTAAAACACAGCCGCAAGCCTGTCCTCACCCCCAGAATGTGATGAAGGAGGACACAGGTAGACCCCGATTGCCGTGCCGTAGAACAAGAAGACCACCGTGAGGTGGGACCCACAGGTGGAAAAGGCCTTTTGCCTGCCAGAGGCAGATGGGACCCTGAGGATGCTGGAGATGATACGTGCGTATGACAGGATGATCAGGGAGAGAGGACCAGTCAGTATCATAGAGCACACAATGAACAGGGCTACCTGGTTGATGCTGGTATCTGAGCAGGAGAGTTGCAGGAGAGGAACCACGTCACAGAAGAAGTGATGGATAGTGTTGTCTGCACAGAAAGAAAGCCTGGCCGTGAGCAGGGTGTGCAAGAGGGCAGCGAGGTTGGTGAGAACCCAGCATGCTGCCAGAAGGAGCATGCACACAAGAGGACTCATGAGTGTGGAGTAGTGAAGGGGCCGGCAGATGGCCACATAGCGGTCATAGGCCATCACCCCCAAGAGGAAGTCATCCAGTGCCCCGAATGTCATGAACAAGTGCATCTGGGCCAAACACCCCCCATAGGATATGGTCTGACTGTGAGTCTGGATGTTCACCAGCATCTTGGGAACCGTGGTGGAAGAAAAACTGGCATCAGCCAAAGAGAGGTTGGCCAGGAAGAAGTACATGGGGGTGTGGAGGTGGGGGTCAGAGCCGATGGCCAGGATGATGAGCAGATTTCCTAGCATGGTGACCAGGTACAAGGCCAGGAAGATGCCAAATAGGAGGGGCTGCTGCTCTGGCCTCTCAGAAAGCCCCAAGAGGAGGAATTCAGTGACACTGGACTGGTTTTTCTGGTCCATGCCGCCACATTTTCTGAAGGGAGAGAAGACAGACATGTCAGAGACTGTACAAAAGGTGGTACTTCCAACTCTCTGTGAAAGAGATGCCCCTTCATCCAGAACATATATGTGCACATCCCAAGTCCTGTATCTTCTCACATGGTACCTATTGTTCCCTGTTTATCCCACCTGGGAAGGAACAGCCAGAGACAGGGATTTAATGCAAAAGCAAGGTGATATGAACTAGTTGAATAGCTAAGTCCAGGTTATGATCATCCCTCCGAAAATTCACTAAGATCCACGATCCTTGGCTTCTAAGTCCTTGGCTTATCTAATTCACAAGCAGTAAGAGCTTCCACCTTGAACCCTAAGCATGCTATAAAGAAATATTGAAATGACTACTCATCAATTTTACTATATCCATTTCACAAATGAGCTTTCCAAATCAGTAAAGTGAATCACTTGTATAATATCACAAGGTAGTAAATACAAACTGGGACTCTAAAGCCACCTCCCATATCCTTGAATACTATATATCACAACCACCTCTGAACGTAACCTCTTCCACTGCAGAAAGCAGATATAGAGGATCTGCTCCTTAAGGGAGCCATTACCAGCTCTCATCTCAGGATGCTCAGAGAGGAGGCAGGCAGAACTGGCATCTTTGTGGGTCTCAGAGGGAAGCTAACCCTCCTGTTTCTCACAGCCCTCACCGCATTTCTCCTGCCCCAAAACACTACCAAGGAACCCACCCTGCTCCTACAGGTCTCCTTTTAGTCTCAGAGGGTTCTGCCTCAAGCACCCAGGGCTTGTCTTAACCACTGACAGTGAGGACTCAGACCTCTCGTTGCATCGGGCCAGCAGGGGAGCAGCGCCCCAACCGCAGTGAAGGATGTGAGAGGTGCTTTGTGCACTCGCCACAGGAGTGTTTCTAGGTTCGGGGCCTCTGGAGGCTGGGTCTCCTGCTGCTCCTCGGGGACAAATATGGAGTAATTGCTCTACTTCCTGCTCTAGCTCCTAGACCAGGTCTCCCAAGGAGCAGGCAAGAGGGAGTGCAGAGTGCATTGGTGGTTTTGCATTTGATAAGTTTTTTCCCCAGGGATGTGTGTGTATCTCTGCTCTTGGTGTGATAGTTGCTCTGGAGTATCTGCTAGGAAAGCTGGAAACTGCAGCAGAAAGGAGTCAGAACAGGAGGTGGGGGGGAACGCTTTTTGGATTCCAAACCTGGTTCCCAAATAGCCTGATCTTCAAACAGGTTAAGTGATTTACCTGACATTACACAGCAAGTGGCAGAGTCAGGATTTTTTTTTTGTATTTTTTTTCCATTTATTTTTATTAGTTGGAGGCTAATTACTTTACAATATTGTAGTGGGTTTTGTCATACACTGACATGAATCAGCCATGGAGTTACATGTATTCCCCAATCCGATCTCCCCTCCCACCTCCCTCTCTACCTGATCCCTCTGAGTCTTCCCAATGCACCAGGCCCGAGCACTTGTCTCATGCATCCAACCTGGGCTGGTGATCTGTTTCACCCTAGATAATATACATGTTT